CTGGTTTTCAGTATGTGCAGATAATATGATCTCTGTTCAGAAGAAAGGAGAAATCAGTACAGCGAGCAAAATTGTGAAATGGATGCTTTTCCTGTAATGCTAAGGTAACTTTTCGATGCTTTATTTCAGCATCTTGGCGTGCATAAGTCCTGAAGCAGTGGTGCCTGGATTAAATTCCATGTCACTTGCCAATGTCAGCATGTGTCCCAACATTGTTGATCTGAGCATGGAAGCAAATGCCATAGCACTCAAGTATCTCAGTGAGAATCAGTTATCCCGACTGTCACTCAGTCGCTCAGGCCAAAATCCTCCCACAGATTTCTCCTTCCAAGACATCTTGCAAACGAATACGGACAAGAGCATGGTGGGTCTGAGTTTAATTTCACCCAGCAATATGTCCTTTGCAACCAAGAAGTACATGAAGAGATATGGACTGATACAGGGCAGTGACAGCAGTGAAGATGAGGAGGAACTGCAGGCTCAAGATGGCAATTTTGGCACTATCAAAAGCAAAAGCAAACCAGACAAAAACTGTACCCCTGCGTTGGACAGCTTCAGCCACCAGACTGAATTACCCAAAATAATGGATGGAAGACTTCCCATTCACCTGAAAAGTCACAGCAGAGAGTCGACTACTAATGCTTCTCCACCAGAATTAAACAGCCCTGTGTTAAGAAATATTACAAATGAAATTTTTCCTCCTAGAACAAATCAAGCAGATGAAAACTCACTTCAGTTCCTAAAGGATTTAAAATCAAAAACAAGATTGTTACCTGGGAGGGTTGAATTCACTCAACAACCTGTCAGGAAAGACGAAGGAGCTACTCAGGCCTTCCATGGAAATCTCCATCCTCCAACTCTTGAAATGTTAAACCAGTCAAACAGCATAAATTCTGTTGGCACCATTCTTGATGTGACACAACTCAGACAATTACCAAAGCTGTTCTGAACATCCCCTGAGATGGCTGCAACCACTGCTTCAAATCAGAGGGACCTCTCTGTGAAAGACTACAGGAAACCACGGATTGAGCCGTCTTTGAAGAGGTCACTCTGTTGTAGCAATGTAAAACTTGCAGAACTGAGTTTTCAGCCCAGCTCAGGGACAACCACCTCAAAGTGCCTGGCTGAGGCAGGTGCTGATCTGCACAAACATATGTGTGCACTTTTGTTTACAGTTAGGTGTGATTTTTAAAGCATACTGAAGGTGAATCAACCTGAGCCCAAGATGTACTTTTAATATAATTTTAACAGTGGTGATTACTTAAGTGTTCTGTTGACTTTTAAAAACAGACTTTTCCATGTTTGTGCCAACTGTGAGCCACTGAATGTGTGTGGCAGAGCAGGAGTAACAGAGCTAAAGCACTAATTTCTAGAAGTTTGCTGAAATGGTTGGATTACTGTATGTGGGTTGTGTTTGTGGGGAAGGGAAATATAACTTTGGCTTTACTTTCCATAAAATTATTTTGAATTCAGCCAAAATGGCACATGTAACTCTCTGTATCATGAAATCTTTGAAGGAAAAGGGGGAAAGCTGGCACTTTTAAAACTTGTAATTTTTTTTTTCACCTCTATGTTTTCTATTTATTTAAAATTACATACCTGCTCATAAAGGTCAAAGGTTCCATTAAAAAAAATTAATCTTCACTTTTCTAATGCTGCCTTTATTTAAGACACATGTGGCTTCCCAGTCATTGTTAGAATGGTTAACCTGAAGTTCCCTCGTTCGCCTGCTACTGGACACCTCAGGAATCTGATACTGGGTGGTGGGGTAAGCAGAAATAATAATTTACTTTGTTCTGAATTAACACATAAATATTCTGTCACCAAGCACTCTAGTCAATTAAAGAAGCAGCTCCTTTCCATAACCTTGTGATGATAATATTGCACAAGGTGAATTTGGAAGTGGTGATTCATTCCTATTCCCACCATTCCTGGTGGGAGCACAATGGAATGATGGTGGAGCCATGTGTTTTCTCACAGGCCTTTTAGTGCATCAGCATTCTCTCACCAGCGCTGGAACAAACTTTGTTTTAGTGATGGCATTGTCTCAACAGCAGTTCAGCCAGTGGTGCTGACCTTGCCTTTCCTGTTCTGAGTGTTAAACCAGAGATTAAAACACCCCACACTGAAGTATTGGGCCTTTCCCAGTCAAATCCTAAGGACTGCAAGTGTTAGTTCTTGGTATGTTTGAGTGGGCACTCGTTGCTAATTAATTACAGAATTGGGCTGAGATAAACTATGTGCTGTTTTGAAGCCAGTACAGAGAGAGGAAGGCAGCAGCTCCTTTTAAGCCAGAATTTCTCTTCTCACGCAGCCTCTTCCATCAACAAGGATATTTGCTTCCTTTCAGGAAAGGTCCTACTTTACTGTGCTGAAAAATAAAACCATTTTCAGTCCCCAAATCTCCCCTGGATCAGGCATAAGCTTATAATCTGCCAGCACATTTTCTGCTGAATCAGTCAAAAAATAGTTAATGTTTTTGAACATTCCAGTGAGATGAATGAGGCAATTCATACCTCTGAGCTATTGTTGCAGGGTTTTGTTCTTTGTTTCCTATTGTAAAATGTCTGGAAACACAGGAAGATGACAGTTGTATTGGTTAATATTTTAAAGACTTTCTTCAAATGCTTAAGGCCTAGAAACAATTTGCAAACAAAAGCCAAACTACTTGCACACAGCTCAGGACAAGGGTGTGGTGTTATAATAAGTTACACAAAGCATATAATCCTGGACAGCAGCGTCCAAGCAAACAAAATGTTAATTTACTGGACCAAAACAATAAAAAACACCCTTCCCTTTAAGCAGCGTTTTCCTTTCATAGTATGGTGCTGAGTAATTTCAAGATGTCTGGATTTTTTTTTTTTTTTTTTTTGTTCCCTGAAGCATGTACTGCAATTTGAGGTTAAAAAAAAAACAACATGTAAAGCCAGGCCTGGCTTTGTTAACTGAGCAGGACCAAGCTCAGAGCTGGCTTGTCAGGTGATAAAATGGGTAATGGGGCAATATTAAGGCTTTATCGATGGGGTTTTGGGGCTTTTTTTTTTTCTTCTACTGTTACTAGCTATTCTTTATTACAATTAAGGATAGATATTTATAGTGCTAGCTGAAAAGGTGCTGGGCCTGCTCAGAGCATCACTGACCCCTTTACTTTGGATCATTTTGGTGCTCCCCACCCTGACTGAAGGCTTTGATCCCTTTTCAGTAAGGTAAAAATGCGGGCTGGAGGTGGGTTGAGCACGGCCCCGGTTCCCACCGCAGCGGGCACAGGCACGGCTGGGAATGGCCCCGCAGCAGCCCTCGGTGCTCAGAAGATGCTCGGCTTCCTAATCTCCCCCGCCCAGCCCCGGCTGTTCTATCTTTAACGCTTCCTGTTGGTGAGAGGAGCCGGCTCGAAAATGGTCGTGTTTCCTGGCGGGAGGCACGGCGGGCTCTCCGGCGCGTCGTGACCGTCCGTGCCCCGCCGCCCCACGCACGCTGCCGGCATCGTGCGGGCTCCTGCCGCCCGGGACACGGCCCCGGCCCCGGCCGTGCGCCGGGGGCAGCGCCCGGCGCTTGTGGAAACCTCTCCCACGGCCGCGTCCAGAGCGGGAAGGAGTGAAAGGAAGAATAACAGCTCCGGCATTTCCCCCTGCGGGAGGGCGCGCAGGTGGCGGGGAGACAATAGCGACCCCCGCACCCCGGCTCGTCCCCCCACTCCACGGCAGGTGCTGCCGGGCCTCGCTGCCGCTTGTTCCCCAAGCCCCGGGGCCGCCGCCTGGCCCAAGCCCCGCAGAGGGGACCGGGGGTGTCCAGGGAGGAGCTCAACCCGGGCCCCTTCCATCCCGCTCCATGCCGGGGGTGATTTCGTTGATTTTCGGGTTCCCGCACTGGCCGATCCCCGAGCTCTCCAAACCCGCTCCCGCCGCTGCCTTTAGGGCCGCGCTACCCGTGGATGCCCGGAGGAGCGGATCTGGGACCCTCCAGCGGCTCCTGCCTCCCCTTCGCATGCCGGGAGCCACTGGCATTTCGGGGAGGGTTTCACGCGTCCCGTCGCTTTGCGATCCCCGTGCAGGGCACCGCGACCCCCGCAACCGCCCGCTGCCGTCCCCACGATCCGCCCCGGGGGCAGGCGGCTCTAGCCAGGCCGGGCGTCCCGGTCCGCCCGGTCCCGAGCTCGCCACGGCCTGGCTGAGCTCCTGCCCCGACGGGGCGCGCATCCGATCCCGAGCTCCAGCCCCGCTGGCTGCCCCGCATTGCTATGGGGCGAGCCAAGGCCCTTTTCTGCCTCCCCCAAGCCTCTCTCCTCCAGGGTCCGCCGCTCACATCCCACATTTCTCGAGGACGAGAGGTGCCGGCTCGGTACCCGCTCTGCTCACAGTCCCCAGCATCCCTCAGCTCGGCAGGGATGCTCGGTCTCCTCCCAGCCCAGAACGGGAGACGAGACAGGGAGCTCGCCCCAATTCAGCCCTTCAGCAAAAATACACAGTGTCGGGGGAGAAAGGCTGGGGATGGGGCCATTTTTTTCCAAAACATCTCCTTTCGGTGTGCTTTATTTACCTCCTCTTGTCCCAAAGCAGCCCACACCCTTTCCCCCTCTCTCAACATCTCCAACAATTTATTTTGGCTCATTAAATTTAATTAAGAACGGAGTAGGTGTTCCATATTTAATAATGATAAAAAAAAAAAGAAGAAAAAAAAAAACAACAACCAGGGGCATAATAACCTCCAAGAGGACTAAAATAAAGAATCGCTATTCAGATGCAAGCAGCCACAGTGCAATTTTTTATTACTTTTTTTTTTTTTTTTTTTTTTTTTTTTTTTTTTTTTTTTTTTGCAGTGTCTTTTTAAGAGCATCTAAGCACACACACATAAAAAGCTAGAAGGCATGCATTCCGGAGTTATTCCTATGCATATCCCTGCAATAATTTTCCGCTTTCCTTCGATAAAATTGCCAAATAATAATGAATCATTTCATAAATAATGGGTTTAGAAGCTTATCAGGGCAGGCGGGCCACTGCTGGGGTTTTATCTCTCTCGGCCACATTGCAGTAGTGTTCCGCTCTCCATACTAAATAGGAAACTGGACGTGATGTGGAATTAGAGCCTACCCAGCTGAAGCCACCCAACACTTACTACAAATATAGCCGCGATGCGTAGGCCACAAAATGGCTCCACTCACTTTTCCCAATGAAAAGCAAATGGTGAGTAAAGAGGAATCGGCTCTGCAGAAGTCTGGGCGCTGGGGACGGCAGGATGTGGTTTTGGGGGGCTCCGGAGGGCAGGGAGCGAGCTCTGGGGGGCTTCTGCCCCACATGAGAGACAGGGGAAGAAACACAAAATCTTTTCCGCGGTTGGGTTTTAATCTTTTTTATTCTTTGATGCGGGGTCGGTGAGGAGGAGAATACACTTTACTCTTTGAAATTGTGGGGTGTGGCACCCCCGCCGCCCCGGGACCCTCGGGCTGCGGCAGCGAGGCGGCGGCCGGGACGGGCTGTGGGGCGCTGGGGACGAAGCGCCCACCGGGCCCCGCTCCCCCGGCCCCTCCCCAGGGACAAACACCAGCACACGGCCCGGCCGACAGCCAGAACCTGAGCGCTTCTCCCTGAGAGGGGATCCCCGATATCCCGCTCCCTGCCGCCCCTTCGCTTTGGGGCGATTTCCCTACAAAGGGCCGGCGGCAAAGGTGCACTTTCGGGTTGGAAATTTCCTGCCGATCGGCTGCTGGAAAACAAAAGGATTTTGCGGAGCAGAAACCAGCAGGCGGGGATTTAATGCCCCCCCTCCATTTTTTCTAAACGAAACCACCCCAATTTAAGGCAAAATTCTGCTGATATCTTCGCGGTTTTGCGTATTTCGTTTTTAACAAATACGGGAACAGACACCATCGGGATTATTTTTTTTTTCACGAAGGGGAAAACCTAATTTTTCGTGATTTCGTTGGCGGGGTTAACCGGCCTCCCCTTCTCGTCGCTGGGCGGCGGGGAGCGGGCTCACTCGGCCGCCGGCCCTGTGCCGCTGTCGCGATTTCTCGGCCGGGAGCACGGCCGGTAACCGGCCCCTTGAGGAATTTAATTTGCCCCTTTAGGAATTAAATTTTCCAGCCGGACGTGGGAGAAACGCCGCCGCCGCCGCCGCTTCGTGCGAGCCCATCGGGAGAAAAACAACCCCGTGTCCGGCCCCGTCTGTGATTTCCTCCCGGGAAGACCGGGCTTGCAATGTGTCCAAAAACCGCCCAATTCGCCCCAAATATAGGGCGCTTTTTTTCACGCCTTTTTTTCTGTGTTTATTTATTTTTCCACGCCAGGCCATGGCCGTCGCTCGTTGTGGCCCCATGTGCGAGGCGGCGGCTCCCGGCGGCGGCGGGGGGGGACCCGGGGGTGGCCGCTGTCCCCTCTCACAGGGGCCTCCCCGGGGTGCTGTCCCCTCCTTCCCTCTCCCCTGTAGCTTTCTCCCTCCACTGATCTCTGGCAATCCGGACCCACGAGATCCACCCTCTCCTTTTTTTTTTTTTCTCCCCCCCTTCTCTTCCTCCCAGGATTTAGCAGTTTTATCCCGATGCGGGTGTCCTTCCTCTCTGTAAAGTCGTAAGTACCTTGAGGTGGGAGGAGTAAATTCAGCCTGACACTGAGAGCGCTTTTGTTGAAACAGGAGAGACTTGCGGTGTCCCTACTTAAATATGACACATGTGAGTAATCTCTTCCTATACAATATCGGAATAGGCAATTCGATTTTTCTTTCTAGAGGACTGGCGGGAAGGGGGCCGGAGGGAAGGCAGAGAATTTGTGCTTTAGGTTGGGTGGTTGTAATTTTTTAAATTTTATTTTCCAGCGAGATAGTGAGATATGGCCCCAAAAAAATGTTGTTGTTTTTTTTTTTCTCGCCACTCAGCCTATCAAAAATGAAATAAAAAAGGGAGCAAGAAGGATGGGTGGCAGCTCTCTGCTCCGTTAAGCTCCTTATTTATATAGAAAAGAATAATCAATCAACCAAAAATAAAAAATCCGAAAACAAACGAGGCTATATGTGGGAGATAAAGCATAGAAATAATCGCGATGTAGCAGTCTGCCCTCGGCGCGAGGTGCCCTGTCGCGACAGCATTTGTTCTGTGGGAGAAGGGGACAATGCTGTGTGCGGCCGCGGCCGGGCCCCTTCCTCCTTCCTGCGGTAGCGAATGCGCAGGGAATTGACTCCGTTAGGGGCTGGTTTAACCCCCTCTCCCCCAAAAAGCGGTTTCAGGTATATTTCGATAGCTTATAAATAACAATAAAAGATAATCATAGGAGGTGAAGGGGCCGCCCATGAGGCTAAGGCCGCTACAGGCAGGCCGGGCCGAGACAGGGCTGGCTCCGCCGGGTAGCAAACACCGCCGGGGATCCCAAAACGGGGATAAACACCCCGAGAAAAGCGGGGCTGTGCGCTGAGCCTCCGCCGTATTTTGGCCGCACGATGTAATCCGCGCCCTCGGCGGCGCTACCCGAGCCCCCTCGCTGCTCAGCCGCGCCGACGGTGCCGATGTGAATCCCCACGAGGCTCCGGGAGCCTGGGGGGGTTCGTCCCGTCCCCACCATGCGGGACCGGGGCGCTGGGAGACGTCAAAGCGCCGCTCCGCCAGGCTCCGTGACGTCACGACAGGGCCGGGGCGCCCCGTGACGTCACGACACCGCACGGCTCGGCAGGGTGGACCCACAGACCCACCCCGGTCCCGCCAGCAAGCTCGAAATTATTTGGGGTGATCAGGAACTCCCCCGTTTCTCACCGACGAGGTCTAAGCCCCGAAGCCACCCCCCTCTCCCCGTCGGGACGGTGCCCGCGGAGGGGTGAAGCCCCCCGGGTCCCCATGCGGGGCCCCCCTGAGCGCTGTCTCTCTCCGCAGGACGATGGACAGGCCGCCCGCCCCGCCGCCCCCCAGTGACCCCCGCGATGCCCGCCCCGCCCGGCGGCACGACTCGGAAACGGAGACCACGAGCGAGCCGGAGAGCAGCCGCGGGGGCATGGAGGCGCCGGCAGACCCCCAGCTGCTGCTCAACGGGGCGGCCAAGGAGGCGGGCCGGCCCTCCCCCGGGCCCCCCGCCGCCCCTGTGCCCGTCATCGAGCTGGTGCGCCGGGGGGGCTCCCTGGACATAAAAAGCCGTGAGGCGGCGGGGGAGGCGATGCAGAGAGCGCCGGGAGCCGAGCCGTGCCGCGCCGCCGAGGCCGCCTGCGAGGCCCGCATGGTGCAGCTGAGCCCCCCCGCACTCCCGCTGCAGCCCCCCGGCAGGGCCATGCTCTACAACCTGGGCCAGCCGCTGGCCACCATCAACAGGTCCGTGTCTCCCCCGTGCCATCCCATCCCATCCCATCCCATCCCATCCCATCCCATCCCATCCCATCCCATCCCATCCCATCCCGGAGCAGTTTCCCCAGGGCTGTCCCGCGCAGATTCGGGGGCAGAAGCAGCAGTATCCCTTCCTCTGCGCGGGGCTCGTCGCTCAATCATCGCAGGTTTTTGCGCGCAACTTTGCAAAGAGAGAAAGGGAGGCGGGGGGAGAAGTCAAAAAAAGAAACGAAAAACTCGTTCCTCGAAGGAAAAAAAAAATTGCGGTGGTAAAGTCCTGGGCAGAGCGAAGGACAATAAACGGACGAGAACCGGTTCAGCTCTTCCGAGCTCCCCGGGCTCTCTCTGTTCACGACGAGTCCAGCAAATTAGCGAAAGGGCCAGCAGAGGCTCTGACAGGGGTTGAGCCAGCCCGGGAGGTGTGCGAGGACGGACCCCGCCTCGCCTCCAGGGAAAGCTGCGCTACGGACCCAGCCCGGGGCGACGTGCCGGGTGTACCTGTGGGGGAGCACAAAGTCATGGGAGTAGGGGGGATTTTGCCCTAAGACGCAAGTCGGGACGCCTCACGCCTCTCACATTCCCCTGCCCACACAGGGCTGGCGTCTCTTGCTGCGTGTCCCCGGCTGGCTGCGTGTGGTGTCACCGCACGACCTCGGCTCGGCTTCGTGAGCCGTGAGCTCGCTGCGAGGTCACGGAGCAGCTCCGCTTCCCTCCGGCCCCGGACGCAGCCCCCCTGATGGGCAGGGCCGGGGGGATGTCGGTGTGTCCTCACGGCCTGTCTGCCTTTCTTTGCAGCGGGTTTTTCGGCGAACCGGACTCCTTCTCCATGTACGGCAGCAACCGGGTGAAGCGGAGACCCTCTCCGTACGAGATGGAGATCACCGACGGTGAGAGAATTTCGCCTCTGCGCCGCCTTTTGGGGGGGTGGTGGTCTCCATCTGCCGAGAAGGGAGAGTTCCTGCACTATGCCACACTATGGTACTAAACCCCCAAATTATAAAAGGACTAAACCCCCAAACCGTAAAACGCGAGTAGGATGTCCAGGGAGTCAGGGCGGCTCTCCGGTAAGCGGAGCCCAGCAGCATGCTCGGTGAGTTTGCCTTCACCCAGCACCCAGTGATGCAGTTCAGCCTGCGGCTAATTACATCCCCATTCTGCAAATTGCTTAGAGATTAAATCCGAAAGAAGACAATAAATATAAGCCTTTGTTGAAGTGCAGATCAGGGCCGTTGCAATGAGATGTCTCATCTATAAACCCTTTCAGCCAGGAGGTGTTCGCACTGCAGACCACAGCCTTGGGCAGAAAGGATAACCTTGCCTTTAAACCGCCTAGCAGCAAAGACCTAACCCTGTGCTGAGCTCTGCAGCGGCACGGGGGGATCGTGGCGAGTCCCTTAATTCCGTATACATCCACACACTGTTCCCGTCTGCCCTGGAGAAATATCCCGTGGCAGAGCCGGGGAGGAGATGTGGAAGGCGGCATTCTGTTGTTTCAGCAGAGATCCCCGGTGCGGGCATCCCTGTTGGAGCCGCAGGATGATTTTGGAGAATGGAAGGCAGGGAGAGAGCAGGGTAGGATCTGCTGCCTGTTCCTGGCAGCAGGCTTGGGGTGTGGGATATTTGCAAGGGGGTATTTGCCCACTGGATGCTGCCCACCCAAAGGGACACTTGCAAGAACAATTTGCACGTGCAAGGTCGGCCTGTTTATCTCTGGAGTGAATAGCCTGTACCCATGAGATTCACTGAAATGTGTTTTCTCTTTAGCAATTGTAAACACTGTATTTCAATTGCTGGACAATTAATTTTCCTTCTTTCCAGCTAGCTGTCCCTTTCCTTCTACCCAGCTAATCTAAGATCAAATCATAACCTGCATCGGTCTAAAACAGCATCCCGAAATGGCAGGGTATTATCTGCATTAATCAGCCTGTCTCTCCCCACTGTCTGCCCCCCTGGTCCTTTCAGACTGCAGCCCCGTGGGACAGGGGATGTTACAGCCCTGCACAAGACGGGCTTTTTGTCTGGGTTTTGATTCTGAGGCTTAGCAGTGACTGGGAAAAGTCCATCAAACCTCCGTGCCTGACTAAAGCTTTGGACTTGCTATTAAATTAAGTATTAAAGATTACAGAAATACTTGGTTGAACCAAGTTTTTGAACATGTGGTTTGAAGCAGGTGTACAGATTGGGCCCAATCTTGCAGGTTCTGGTTCATGTGAATTTCCAGGATTGGACTCAAAATTTTTAGGGGGAAAAAGGGTATGAGATTGTGTTTTCTAAACAGGAACAATTTGTAGGGGTGTACATCCCATGCTGAGGCATCTGTGTGGTCTGAGGGACTTTGCTTATTGCTCTAAATGTCACCTGCTGAGTGACATCCATGGCACACAGGAGCATCACTCTTGAGGGTCCTCAGCTCTTGGGGGCTACACAAGGGCAGGAAAGTCTTGTCAGACACTTTGTGTTTGTGTTTTTTTCTGTGAGAGAATAAGTGGTGGGGTTTTTGGAAGTAGTTCTTTATCTATTTTATGGAAATTTTTTCCCATTTAATATCTTATTTAAAAATAGTTGGAAGTGTAGATAAAAATGCAAAAAAGTATCTCTAAAAAAGTATGTCCTGGAACTTTGGAAGATAATATTTTTATTAATTTTCCTCATATTTCTAATTACAATTTTAAAAGCATCAGTCAATTTATTAGAACAAAACCTAGGCAAATATTCTCATCCGATTGCTTGAATTAATTATGGTGCAAGTATTTTTATGAGAAATAGATTTTCTATTATAACACAGCTATGGGGCATTTTAATTTCCTCCATTGCTTGACATGTTTTGGCCAAAACCTGATCTCTTTCTAGAAGATATGTTTAATTCAGTTGGTGCAGATATCAAGAATTTGAGCGGTGTAAGAATTTGTTTTATATACTGAAGGTTAATTTGGGTGCCCGTGGATGAAAATGAACAGGTTTGGGTTTTTTTTCTGATTTCTAACCAATTTATGAATAGATGCCTTTTAGTCATCAACTTTCAGTGAACAGAGACACATGTTTGAAGAATGAAAGTCTCTTGAGGATTTTTTTTTAATGAGCATTGTCCAAGATGGGGTTATTTCTCATACCCTTATGGGAGTAAATAGCTCTTAAGCTCCATCTCTCTCTGGATTTAAGACCAGTTGCTTTGTCTTGTCTGGAAAGAGCACAAAAATCAGTAAAGTGTTAAAAATGTCATAGTATTTTAGTAGGAGGTAGCACACTCTTCACTGCTTAATTAGCAATGCTGCTGAGGTCCCTTTGGTCCCTGTCACCTTCCCCACAGTCCTTGGCATAGCTAGGCTGTGCACATCAGGGACAAGGAACCTTCCCTTTGCATGAGCTCTGGCACATTAATTCATACAAAGGGAATTAGGTGCTGTTTAAGGGTGAATATTGCCTTTACTAAAGCATCACACTGGAATCTTAGAGGTCAGAGAGGTGTTTGTCATTTCTACATCCCCCAGCTTGTCCCAGGGGCTGTTTGTGGTTTTAGGGGACTCCTATCTCTGAGCACACCGTGAGGAGGAGTGAGTTGTGTGGCTGCTCACACACTGGAGAAGCTGGCAGCTTTAATCTGGCTGCTTGAGAGTGTGTCCCCATGCAAACCCTGCAGTGCAGGGTGTTCTGTGTGGTGTGCTGGCCTGAAGGGACTCAGCTTCCCCTGAAGGAGGAGAGCTTGATGGTATCTGATCAGCTGGAGCAAGGGATTCCACTTCTCCTGTTGTGCAAAGTGGGATTTGCTGTGGTACAGCCCGACAGGGGTACTTATAAAAAGTCACACCTTTTGGTTCCTGTGCCACAGCCAAGGCAGCCAAGAGTTTTTCTAGAAAAGAATAAAGGTGTTTAATTGTGCCCTGGGTTGCTGGTTCCACTGGGTAACGTTAAAACTGTGATTTACACTGCTCACCAAAGCCAGGGACCTGTTTCCACCTGGAGGGAGAAGTTAGGCAGGTGTCTCAGAGTGGAGAATACAGGAGAGACATGGGGAGAATGGGAATTCCACAGTCCTTCGGGATCAATCTCACCAATATGAGAAGCAAGCCTTTGCTTCCCACTCTGTGATGGTTTTCATTGTATGTGATGCTTCCTATCCCACGGGAGTTTCTACCCTGGTCATTCTTCCAGACTTTCATGAGATTGATGTGACCTTCCATTGTTCGTGTCTCCTGGAGGAGATGATGGGAAGGATGTAATATTAAAAGCATATTAGGGTAGTGTTCCCTCATGTGAGCTGGTTTCCATGGACCCCAGGACTGCAATCCTGATTTGCAGCACTGTTGCTCCTGCAGAACAGTACTTTTCAGTAGAAGTGCTTTTGGGTCTCTTCTGGCACAGAGAAAAGCGTTCCTCATGTACACCAGGAGCTGCCCTGATGTGCTGAAAGGAGAATTGGTGTGTTTTGTGCCTTCATCCTGTGTAGCATTCCCCTCTCAGAAACTGCAAAATTTCAAGGCTGTAAAATTTCAAGGTGTAATTGGAGATTACATGTAATTAGGTCAAATGGACACTTCTAGCAATTTGGAGTCTCTTCTCCAATTAGTGTCAGAGGGAGTTTTTGGCCTGTGGCAGTGACGAGGAGAGAGAGCAGGCAGCCCTCAGGCCAGCTGTGAAACTGTTCCATCCTCACCTGTGATCAGCCTTCCATCAGAACACTGCCTTCCCTCTGTGGCTCAGTCCTGTCCTCATTGCTATGGGACAAATCCCACCACTCCATTTCATTCAGAGGGCTGAATGAAATGGTTTCTCTCAACAGGGAAGACCTCTGAATCTCAGGGTTGTCAAAGCCTCTGCTCAAGCTAAATTCTTCCCGTCCCAATGGTGTGTCCTTTAGACAATTTTGGGGTAGAAAATAAAGCCATGTAGTGAGATAAACTTTTAATAGGATCATTGTTGCTGAGTTACCCTTAATGAGTTGAGATACCCTAAAATTATAGCAGCCTTCTGCACACATATTATGGCCTTCTTCCTTGGAGAGGTGAATGTAGATATCTGAGGAGATATCCAAAGAGATGCAACTCCGTTTTTCCCTTCCACTGGATTGAACAGAAGGGGTCATGGGGTCAGCTTCCACTTAGCTGGAAACTTTTGTTTCACTGCCTTGCAGATCAAACCTCACTAAAATTAGTCAGTTCGTTAATTTGCAATGCACTGACCTATCCAGCAAAGTAATACCTGGCCTGTTGAGCCCAGCTCCTAATTCTGCGTGGTTGGAATTGCAGGTCCTCACACGAAAGTGGTCCGTCGCATTTTCACCAACAGCCGGGAGAGGTGGAGGCAGCAGAACGTCAACGGGGCCTTTGCAGAGCTGCGCAAGCTCATCCCCACACACCCGCCCGACAAAAAACTCAGCAAGAACGAGATCCTGCGCCTGGCTATGAAATACATCAACTTCCTGGCCAAGCTGCTCAACGACCAGGAGGAAGAAGGAAACCAAAGGGGCAAAGTGAACAAAGACTCGGGGATAGTCCAGGAAGACCTCCTGCAGGACATGTTGTCTCCCAACTCCAGCTGTGGAAGCTCTTTGGACGGAGCGGCGAGCCCGGACAGCTTCACGGAAGAGCACGAGGCGCTGGATTCGAAGCACACGCGGAGCCTGCACCACGCCATGCTGCCCGTAGAAGGCACGGCACAGCGGTGATGACCCTCACACTGCCCCCGAGGCGCCACGGGGCAGAGGCCAGGCTGGCTGTGCCGCTGCTGGAACTTGTGGGGTTTGTGACTCTGCCTTGCCCACCCTCCCCAGCCCCGCTGGCTGAGGACAAGACCAGCCCAGATGGACGTTCGGGGTTTAGGTACGTGACCGTACAAAGAAGAAGAGCGCTGAAGTCATCTTCGTTGTACAGAACTGCTCGGGATGGGACTCTGAGGAGGGGAAGGAGACGTGGCTGGCGCCTCTCCAGCGTTTAGAGGGTTTTCAGACCACTTGGTGACCGTCTCTTTTCAAACAGTCATCTGGGTGAGGCATGGAACTCCTCTTTCACTGCCCACGGAGGCCACCGGCGCTTTCCAGCTCCACGTGTTGCTGGAAGCTGCTGCATCACACCAGTGCTGCAGCACTTCTCCAGCCTGTGGCACATCCAGCTGGTCTGAGCAGGAGCTTGGCCACACATTCCTGTTGTCTGAGAGCTTTTGACTGTATCTTCTTAAAGAGGTGAAAAAATACCCTCAGCAAAAGAACTATTAAAAGGATTTAGACTATTTCTTTTTTCTCTTCTTCTTTCTTTTTTTCTTTCTTTTTTTTTTTTCCCTTCCCTTTCTTCCTTTCTCTTCTATCTAATTTTGGATTGTTTGGGCTTTTTGTATTTATGACATGGGATTACTTCTGTTTAACACTGTCATGCAGTATCCACTGAATGAAAAGGTACATAGGTGTTTTCTACCACCCTCCCAGTCCCTGATCCTTCTGCTGGTAACACTCAGCAGGCGAATTTCAAACCTGCTGTGATCGCCTAGAGTTTTTCCAGTGATTTCTGTGGGGCCAGAGCTTCTCTCAAGAAAGATGAATTTCAGAGTTGATAAGGGAAGAAAATATTTGCTAGTGAAGTATCTCTTTGGACTGGGGGATTTTTAAATTCAAAAAATCAAAAAAAAAAAGGGCAAAAGGAGTCAATGATGTATCAACAGTGTGCGTGTACATAGGGTTATAAAAAGGTTTTTTGATGGTATGCTTTGAATTTTTTTGTTTTATTGTGTGAAAATGGTGGTTCAGCTGTGCCAATGCCCACAGTGTGGACAATAGTGCTGGATTTATTCTGGTGTTAGGAAGGCCCTCACCTGTCAAGGCTGGTGGGAGTCCACAGCCTCTCTGAATCTTGTGGGGAAGCAGTAAAAACAGAGGTGGGATTAGCCTCCATTCCTGAGTGCTCAAACTGCTGCAAAACCGAGCTCTGTGACTGAGCTGATGCTCTGCTCCTGCTGCCCCCCAGGAGGATGTTTGGGAAACAGGAGGACAGGGGAGCAGGAGGCTGCTGCTGTGGTGGCTGGGAGCTGAGATCCACACTGTGCCATCACTGCTGCGTCAGACCCACCTCCCACCACCCCATCTCCTGAGGCCTGATGGAGACACTGCCCCAAACCCATCCTCTCCCTCTGCAGAGATGCCAAGGCACAGAAATCTCTACCGTGATACAGTAGGAAAAACCCCCAAACCCACACACAAACATCCTTTGGAAGGGAATAAATCTTTCTGAGTGGGCACATCTTCCACCACACTCGTGCCTTCCCAAGGATGCTGAGGTACAAGGGAACACAGAGAATTTGAGTGGGTGTCTGCAAGCCCATCCAGGCTTAATTCAGAGCCCTGTCATTTCCATCCCTGCTTGGTTTTGATGCCTCTTTGTAAATATTAGGTAAGAGTCTGGCATGTGGCTTGGCATGTTAGGCGGAATTAGTCGCCTGGGAAGGGATCCTGGCCCATGCAAGGATTTCCAGCATAGCCCCCAAATTTTTGGAAAGCACCAATCTCCCTCATCTTAAATTGGGGAAAAGGAGGAACATTCTTGAGTCTGATTTGCCTGTGCACGGGGGTTTTTACTAGAGGGGGGTACCTGGAGGGCTGGGCCAGGGAAGGAGCTGGCAGGTGAGGAAGCGATGCTGAGGAAGAGGTTTGGACTGGTACTGGTGCCAGGGGTAGGAGAGGAAAGCAGAGGGAGCTGCCAGGGGGGCCTCGGGGGGGTAAGGGGGTGCTGTCACACAGATAAAGCCGTTCCTGGTTCCCAAATAACCCTGCATGGGGAATGTGGGGGTTTTACACCCTTGCTATTAAACTGTCACATGGAAAAAAATAAAAATTCACCGATACTCAGAAATTCCTCATTCCACACATATCCATTACTTCTTGTTTATATCTTCTCAGTAGTTGAACAGTTGGGAAAATGGTACAACCTTGTCAGCACCCCCAAACACCCCCAGGCAAACACACTCCTGCAGGGAGTGCTGCAGGTCCCCCGGGCTATGTACAGTTGTACTTTAATTGTGATTTGAATGGTACATTTCCTCTGCCCACCTCTCCTCCTGCCTGCTTCATCTCTCGCTGTGTGGACCATCACCCTCATTCCTGTTGGAAACAGCGCGCTGGGGCAATGTTGTACCGTGTGAGTGAATTCCTGCCTTACGAATTTTGGTTTTTTCGGCCCCATCCCTTTCTCTGCCACACTCCCCTTGGATTTCTGCATTTTTTCTGCAGAAATGAAGTAACCAGACCTGGTACCCTGAGTCTCAACCCACTGTGGATGTGCTATTTAGAAAACACATTTGTTGTAATGTGTGTGTATATATAAATATATATATATAATGAATATATCAAGAATATTTCTAAATAAAGTTTTACAAAGCAGCCTCCACTCGCTGTCTGCCTCTGTCCCACCTCACCACTTGCATCCATCATTAGTGTGCTTTTTTATCCCTGAGGGTTGTGGGGGCAAGAAGCCAGGGTGGCCCATTCCCAACCAGCCAAAAACATAAACGGGCAGCAAAAAACGTTGCAAAAGGATCTGCTAATGTATTTTTTTTTCTTGCTTGACTCACACCGTCCAGCCTGGGCGGGAGGAAGGGCTCGGGGCCGGCAGGAAGGAAGACGGGCGATGAAGCAATGCCCCGCCGCAGGCGAGCGTTACCAGCCACCCCCACCGTACCCCCCGTGTCATTTGCAGGTCCCCCCAAAAGCTCCAGTGGCCTTTTCCCTTCTTTTGGCGAGGCTGGCTGTGAAAGGAAGGGGCTGCTGGGGGCCATGCTACTTCCCTTTGCACCATGGCAGGCATTTGGCCATGATTTAACAGGCAGTGAGAGTAATTCCTCTTTTTTTTTAGAAAGAAATTATCACAGCCACGTGCATAAGTGCTTTTAAAAATACACAGCACTAATTAGGAAGTGTTAACAGGCTAAGTGATTCCCTGAGCAGATGTATGTTTTTAAATATCTATCTATCTATCTATCTATCTATCTATCTATCTATCTATCTATCTATCTATCTTATGTTTATATATATCTTATACATATCTATATCTCTTATTTATATCATTTATATAAACAGCACTGTACTGCTGATGGTGGCTGACACCATACAGAGCATAGAGCAGATGAGCAGGAATGGTACCACAAGTATTTTCTTGTCTGTAATTTCTATTAATTACAGAGTCATTGCTGATATTTAAACAAACCCTTTCAAGTATCTCTTGGTTTTTTAAAGCCTCCCCACAAGAGTTTAGCTGCTAACCCCTCCTCCCCAGCAGCCTGGGAGCCAATGCTTGCTTTTAAGGTTTCTGGGTGGAATTTCCCCCAGATGGAAGAGGGGACCCTTTCTCAGGCTCCACCCTGGGGGTGCAGGGAGCCCTGTCCACCCAGGTCTCCACCAGAGGAGAGACATGGGGGTGTCCCCTCCACAGCCAGCACTGGGCTGGTTTCATCCCAGGCACTGGGACAAGGCGTGGGGCAAAGTGAGCAGTGTGTGGCTGCTGGGTGTTTATCTGGAGTTGGGAGATCATGGCTGTACATCTGGTTTAACCCCTGTCTCCTGTTCTGCTGCCAGCCCAGCAAGAGCTGATAGCTCACTCACCGGTTATCTCTGGCTCCCACCTCCTGCCTCTCTCCCTTCCTCCTTCCATTGCCCAGACAATTCTCCTTTCACCTTCTGCTTTTTTTGCTTTCTTCGAGTAAAACATCCTTGATGGCCACACGTATTTTGCAACCAGCAAGGGAAAAAACATTCTTAAGGGAAAAACACCTGCAGGGTGAAGGCTTCAAACAATTCTGTGCACATTTATAGGTTCTATAATCTATGGAAAGGGCTGAGACGCTTCCAGTGGCACCTGCTCCATGTGGGATGGTCAATGTGCATCACTCCTGATTGACCCCGGTGGTGGGGAGACCCTGGGTGCTGCTCTGCTGGGACAGGCTCCAGGGTTGTGTCCCCAGGTGGTGGCTTCATGTTGGCCATGCTGGAAGAAGTATCTCTCTTTCAGCATCTTTTTCTCCTGAGCATCTGGACCTTGTTGCTGCTTGGCCACCAGAATGCAAATGTCACAGAAGGTAGCAGACATTCACCTGCTGACATTCATAATTCATCATTATGTTTCTTTTGAAAAGTAATTTTTGAAAGCCCTTCCCATTCTTGTCTTCCAATGGCAAATTTAATTCATTTCTCATCAAATGGTAATTTCTTTTCACAATCGTGTTTCAAAGGGTGATGTGCAATGCTCTGTGGATTCAAATATATGGGGAAAAAACACAACCCAACCCGTTTCTTTCTCTGTTCATGCAAAACAGAAAAGAAAGCTGGGGAAAGCACCCTAAAGTCCTGGTTGTCACTGCACAGATGGGACTGGTGCAGCAGGAGAGAAACAGCCTGGGTGTCATGGGTGGCATTGCCCTCAGCTGGGACAGTGCTGGGGCTCAGCTCTCACTGGTGGCACTACAAGGTGTTGAGCGTTCTGGTCTGTAGGGTAGGAAATTTCCTGGCAAATAGCAGTTTCTTCATGAACTTGAAACACGTGCATTTAAAGGTGTTTTGTTCATCCAGTTTTGTAATGTGTTCCAGAAACTCAGTGACATTCAGGCTTCCAGGGGCAGAAAATTTCCCTCACAAGTGCATGGATGACATTGGGGAGTGAGAACAGCAGGGACTGACACTGAGATAAAATTGAATTAAAAACCAGAGAGAAGGTGGGAGGATTGCATTAATCCAAACTGATGAAACAAGAAACACAAAATCCCAAAATCAGTACAAATTTGAGCAGCTACTATTTTCCAGCCTCATTATCTGTTTTTAATTACATCTTTTCTGACAAAGCCATGCTGAGGGCAGCCTGCACTGGCAGCCCTGCCTGGGAACACCGCCGAAGCCAGGAGCAAGGACCTGCTTCATTAAGGGCATTCCCACATAATTGAATCAAATATGCTCAGGGAAAAGACGGGACCCAAACATTCCCACCCCGGCAGACGATGAGAACGCTTCTCCTGTTCACTGTGACAGGCGAAGTGACAACAGGAGGGAGTAATTTATGGCTCTCTGGGACTGCTCGTTCTGCTCTTCATCCCGGGGCTCATCCCTGCCATTCCCACCGCCACACAAAGGCTGCAGCCGGCCAGCGGTGCCCAGGGGACACTGCGCTGTCACACGCAGCAAGGAGATGAGCAGCGAGCAGGATCCTTTCTCTCCTCCCAGTCCTGTTTTTTCTCTCTGGTCCTCCTGCCTCTCCTTTCACCTTATTCCTCACTCCTCTTTTTTTTTGTTTCCATCCCAAAACTGGGATGAGAGAGCAGGGCTAGCGGTGGATGGGAGAGGATGAGGATGCTTTGACACCACAGGGGCCACAGCGAGGACCTGCACCACTGATGGGGATCCAGGAAACCTCCCGGGGGCGGCTCCAACAGGCACTTTCAAACTTGTCCCCCCGGTAGACATTCCTTTTCCCCTGCTCTTGGAGCTATTCTCAGCCGCCCCAATGACCTTTCCGGGGAACAATTTACTATTGTGTTTTGGTGAAGCCCAGCCTCTATTTTTACACTCTGTTTTGCTGATGCGGGCACAGGGAGCGAGACGGGAATCCAGCAGGAAATGGGAGGGAGCGTCTGGAGCATGGTTAAAGCTGCCCCGTAGCTTTGATGTGCCGTGGCCGAACCCGACCGGCAGCACGCGGTGGGGTCGGGGGCTTCTCTCCCTGCCCAT